GTAGCCAGTAGACCTTGATTTCTGTTGCTAGGAAACCTGGAAGGCTCTTTTAGTCCTCATGGAAACCATGCTTAATGCAATCACTTTGGCTGATTATTTACTGGCTGTTTGGCATGATCCCAACTCAAGGAAGGTTTATTTCAAACCTTTGCAAAGTAAACAAGTAGAGCCAAACTGTGCTAGTGTGGGAGCCTACAGCAGACTGCCCCAAAATATGCCAAAATGGCATATGGATTATTTTGAGTTAAAGTTATTACTTAGGAAATAGCCAGGGCAGAAATACTCAGACCCTCTTTTGTCTCCAGAATATAAGAAAAAAATCGTCCATGTGAAAGGTGCCCTCTCTGCACCACGAGGTAGAGAGATAGCTTTATGATCAGAGAGAAGGAATTTAGGGTTGAAAAAGCCTATATAAGCAAACCTTGTTACTTTTACTAATTTACTACCCAAGTCCAAATTCAGTTTAGAATTCCTTTCTAATTAAAGTTTCCAAACATAAGTTTTATCAATGCCTCACAGATTTATGCTTCTTTTTCTATAAACTACAAAAGCTGCCCACCTTGGTCACTTCTTAGGTTCCATAGTATGTACAAATTAAATTTGATTTTCTCCAGTTAATCTCTTGCATGCCACTTTTTCTTTTAGATCAGCTAGAAGAATCATGAAAGATAAAGGAAAATTTTTCCTCTTCAATACTAGCCTTTGTGAAGTGACTCAGGAGCCTTTTGGGGGTCAGAGAAAGTAGAAGGACAAAGGGGCAATACCCCTCTCTCCTTTAAGAAGAGCAATTCTACTTCGATCTGCTTTAATGTTAGGCTTCATTTGGAGATAATGAAAGAAAAAGTTTGAGAAGTCCTGATTAATCTACAAACAAACAAACAAACAAACAAACAAAAGTCTCTAAGAACTAACTTGCCCAAAGTTACCAAGCTCATAAAATCCAAGGCTGTGGATTAAGCTGGTTCCTCTGACTTTAAATTTTTCCATTCTCCCACACTTCCTTTTGCTACGATTGAGCAAACAATTTAACTATACATACAATAGTAATGTTTAAAGATAATATCAGAGTATCATGAACAATGCTCTACACTAATGGATTTGAGAAGTCTGACAAATGGATAGTTTTCTGAACAGTGCTACTTAAAGTGTGGTCAGCTAACTGGTCTGCAAACTGTTACCAGTCTGAGATGAAGTAAGTACAGAAATTGAGAGTAAGTACTTAGAATCATTGAAAGCATTTTTTTATATTGCTGCAATATCCAAGCACCTAATTTCATATTTTACAAAAATATTGGTCTGCAATAAATTAAGGAAGTCTTAGAAAACTATGACTTAACAAAACTGACTCAAGAAGAAATAAAAAGCTAAACAGACCTACAGCCATTTAAAAAAGATGGATTAATGGATCAAAATCTATCCCCCTAAAAATCCTCCAGTCCAAAATGGTTTATATGCAAATTCTCCCAAGCCTCCACTGAATGGATCATATCTATTTTATATAAACTCTCCCAAAGATCAGGACAACAGGAAAAGTAACCCAATTCATTTAATGAAGTCAATGTAATCTCAGACCTAAACTAGACAAGGACAGTACAGGGAAAAACAATAAAACCTTATAGTCCAATCTTTCTTATGACCATAAGTACAAAAACTCTAAATAAAATATTAGAAAATCAAGTCCTGCATATATTATTATTAAGTATTAATTTAGATATCCTATTAATATGTCACAACATCGACAGTTTAGAGGGAGAAATAACAAATCATTAACAGATGAAGAAAACCAAGGATAGAAAAACAAACAAGCAAAAATTCGTGAAAAGAGAAAAATTACTGCCCACTAGAAAAAAGGAACATTTTCAAAAAGTATCTTTTAAATCTGTCATAAATGTCAATATTGAAAATAAAACAAAACGATGCTATTTAAAATCAGCAATGAAAAAGATTTCCAGCTATCACTGTTTCTTCTTGCATGGTGCAGATTGAAGGGAGGAGGAGGGAATAGTTATATTGAATAGAAAGGCAGAATAAAACTTTAATCATTGACATTACTGTCCACATAAAAATGCCTAGAGCTTATGCAAATTATTAGAACAAATAAGGAATTTTGGATTTTTATTAAAATACTATGTATAATACAAAATTTTATTATATTTGCATATATATTGCATATATAAAAATTGCGTTAGTATAAAAAGCAACAAATAATTAGATAATACAATTTTAGAAGATATACTTTTATTGGTAACTAAATTGATAAGTTGTCTAGAATATAATAGATAAGTTGTCAAATAAAAGTGCGCAATATTTTTAAAAGAATTATAAAAGTTATTTGAAAGACATAAAAAACGACTTTATTAATGGAGAGATACATTATCTTCAATATTATAAAGATGTCAGTTCTCTCCAAATTAATTCATAAATTCAATATAATTACAGTCCTCTTGTTGCCAAGGATTTTTGAGGATCTGGACAAGCTGATTCTGAAATCTTAAGGAAGAGTAAAAGGCCAACAAAAGCCAATAAAGTCTAGGAGAAAGAACAGTAGGAAAAGGAAAAGATGGAAGGAAAAGATAAATAATTTGTTCATAATAAGACTTTTGATAAAACTATTGCAATTTTAAAAGTATGGAAAAATTGATCAATGAGAGCCTTCTAGAAATGGACCCACAAATACAAGGAAATTTGTAATATGACAGGGGGTATTATAAATCAGTGGGGAATCAATGAATCATGTGGGATAATTGATTATTCATATGGAAAGAGATAATATTAAGCCCTTACTTTGTTATAAGCAAATTTACATTCTCGGATGGCATGAAGACTGAAATGAAAAACAAAAACAAAACTAAAACCTTAGAATAAAGCTTGGAAGAATCTTTAGAATACAGAACTAAAGAAGCATTTTCTCTTTTTAAAAAACCACAAAGTACTAATAAAACAGAGAAAAATGACTTAAAAATTTAACTACATTAAAAAATAAATGTTAACCACATTAAAAATTAACATTTACTGGAAATGAAGTAAAAAAGGAGTCACAGACTGGGAAAATCCATGTATATCCCAAACTCTATAAAGAATCCCTACAATAACACAGTAGAAATGTAAGGAAAGCACATGAACAGACAATTTAAAAAGCAAGAAGCACAAATGGACAATGGCATATGAAAATATGCTTAATTTCACTAATTATCTGGGAACTGAAAAGTAAAACAGTGAATGGCCATTTGAAACTATCAGATCAGCAAAACAATCTGTTGACACCAAGTTTTGGTGAAATGTTACACATTATTTGGGATTGTAAATTAGTGCAGCCTTCTTCGGAAGTAATTTGCCAGTATTTGATAAAGTTTAAATTGGACTATGGTTCGGCAATAATACTTCCAATTTATTGAGAGCCTGCCTCTTTAAACACTAGACATGTGTGCTAAGATGAACATGGAAGCACATTGATTGTATTTTTTTGTACTACAAAAAAAGTGGGGAAAAAATGTTTGCTCTTCACTGGGTATTATATACAACTGATCAATCACTAAACTTTACTTCTGAAACTAATAATAATAAAAAAAAAAGCTTACCCTTAAATAAGAGATTAGGTTTTTTAAAGAACTTTTTTTTTTTTTTTTTTTTTTTTTTTTTTTTTTACTTAAAGGAATATAGGGGCACCAGGGTGGCTGAGTCAGTTAAGTGTCTACCTTTGGCTCAGGTCATGATCTTGGGGTCCTGAGATCCAGCCCCACATCAGGCTCCCTGCTCAGTGGGGAGTCTGCTTCTCCTTCCACCTCTGCCCCTCACCCCACTTGTGCTCACTCTCTCTCAATTAAATAAATAAAATCCTTTAAAAAATAAAGGAATTAGACAACCTTAAAGCTAGATTTACCAATATTCACACTTCCACATTTCAAAAACAGTAGGTTGAGCACAAAAAGTAAATCGAAGAAAAATATGTAAAATACATCATTTATGTAAATTTAAAAAACATGCAAAATCATGCATATATATATATCCACTTATGAATAAGAACACATGGTAAAGGTCCTAAAAATCACATGGGAATGACCCATGCCAACTGCATTTAGGAGGTACCCTCTGGCAAAGGGAGGGATGAAGGTGGAGCTTTATTATATCCTCCAAGCCTCATTTCTTTAAAAACAAACACATGAACAAGCAAGGTCTGTTTCCAGCAACAATACTACCTAAACATCTTGGTTATCGTTCAAGGTCAGCTTATTTGTTGTACTTCCGATTGCTTCACTGTTAAAAATTACTCGTTTGATTTTGCTTTTTTAAAAAAAGAGATGGGGATCAAAGAATCATTTACACAAGGGTACACAGCGCCTCAGTCACGGAAGTCAGTTCTCAGCCTCGAGCTCAGAGCTGAAATGACTGTTTAGCAGGGCACCTGGCCAAGCCTGGCCACTGGCGGGCAATGGGAGCGAAGCCACTTGGCCTTCAGCTTGCAACGGTGACTGACCAGGGGCCCCCTTCGGCCACTAGGAGTCATCCTAAGGGCTCACCCCATGAGGCCCTCATTGGGGCTTTGGTGGCCTGGAAAACCCAGGGGTTCTGTTTGCCTTTTGTTCTCTTTTTCTTTGTCTTCTCGGCAGGGCAAGGTAAGTGTCGGAAGGAAGGGGAGCAGCGTGTCCTTCACGCGGCCTTTCGGGAGTGCACCTGCTGGAGGGTACCTCGGAGCCCCCTGCATTTGCTCCTGGCAGCCGGGGCTCGGTCCAGCTCCCCTCTCGGGAGCACTGGACGGCCTGCTCTGGTGTGGATGAAAGGACACAGGGGTCTCGGAAAGATTCGTGGCCAGAAATCGTGGCACACAGGAAGCTGTAAGAGAAAAAGCATTGTGCTTGGGCTTCACCCACTGAACTTTTGTGGGTGAGCTTTTGGTGGAACAGCATCCTTCTAAATGCTTGAGGGGACGGCTTTGTGACCTGCCGCAGGCATGCTGCTTCTAAATATAATGGACATGGCTTTCCTGCCCTCCCTTCGGGGTATCCATTTTCCACCGCATAATCTTCCTATTGTCCACACTGATTTCTGTTTGGTTTGGCAGGGCTAGCTGCTGGCAGCCTTCCTGGGCGCAGCGTTCTCCATACCCCCGTGCAGGGGTTACTGAAATAACAACCAGCTTTCCCTCACTCTTGGAACAGGAGCCAAGTGCGACACAAATTGTGAAATTTGTTTCTGGTTACCAGGAAAACGTAAAGAAATCCCAATGAAGCAAAAAGGTCGACAAAATTCTTTCCAACATTTGAACAAAAAAGGTATTTTTCGGGTCTTAGATTTATGGAAATCAATTCTCCAGCTCCCAGACAGACTTTCAAACCTCCTATTCTTTGCACTACGTTATTTAAACACCCTGTAAATACCCTTAGTGGCTCTAATAGTAGCTCCGTATTGTGCAAGACAGCCATGGTCTGAAGACTTTCTTGAATTTGAAAGACAGAAGTTCCGTTTCTGGCACATAAACTTGAATTACGGCTGTGGTAAGACTACCAATGAGGCCCAGATTTTGACAGCTAGGCAAGCAGGTCATTTATTTGGAAAGACTTTGAATCCCTTCCTAGAGTAAAATGCAGTCCTTTATACCCAGCAGGCTTAGAATAAAAGCTTCTTCACTGACTTGATCAGTGTCCTGAATTTTAGGGTATAGGAAGGTATTTCTGATAACTTGAAAATGGAGGAAAGATGGAAAAACTGAGCTTGGAAAGAAAACCACCTGGTGGTTCCTGCCATGACATTTCCTAACTTATGTATTGAGTGAAGGTTTACATTGTTTATTGAAAATATTACCTCCTTGTGACGACACTCCAAGTCTGAGAAGTAAACACAAAAGGAATGAAGAGAACATGGGTATCTGAAGCCTCCAGGATGAAACTTATAAAACCCATGGACATCCATCAACCAATCATGTAAGTAAATATTATGCACCAGACCCTGTACTAGGTCCTCAGGGGATAAATATGACTAAGACACATTTATTCCCTTTAAAGAGCTTGGGGAAAGCAGGCTAGGTGGGAAGAGAGAATTAGTGATGATCTAATTGTGTATGTGCTTCAACAGCAGTGGGTTTAACCAGGACTGGGAACCTCCACACTCCCCCATTGACCATACATCTGCTCTGCTCTGGCTCTGTCAATGACTTTGGACTACTGGCTCTGGCACTTTTCTCCACCATGACAAGTAAGGAAACTCCTACTTCCCCAAACCAATCTTTTTGAAGGAACATTAACATGGAACTATTGGGCTCTTAATGGCATAGTTCTTTTCACTTTTAATAACCCTCCCCATCTAGGGTGCCCTACCAGGGCCTCCCCTACTTGGTTTTCCTGTGGCAGAAAATTGCAAAAGTAAAGACACAAACAAAAAAGATAGTATGTGCAAATTCACTATGTCAATAATATCTTCCTATGTGTATTCTTGTTCAGTGTGTAACCTGATTGTCCAGTTATGCTGATCCAACACTACAAGACTGGAAAGGAGCTGAGTCATAGGAAAGCCAAGCACAGCTTCACCCTAAAACATCTACTCCCTGCATCATCCAAGCCTTGCTGCAGAGACTGGACCATTCATCAAGACTTCTACACAGAGTGTTACTTTAGGGATCCTATTTTCTTTTCCTTCTGTCTAGCCCGCCTTTTGGAAATATACCATACACCCTGGCCATCAGACAAACCTGTATCTGCCTTAATGCAACTGTCTCATTCAAATGAGTTCCTGGGCTGGGAGCTCCCAAAACTGGGGGCTGAACTTTTGAAAGCACATGAAACACCCATAATAGTCCTCACTTCGGAGGTTCACCTGGACCTCCCCACAAATAATCTGTTATTCAAATAAAGCAGTTAATAAACAGCCTAAAACTTTTCTTCAGGCATTTTTTTCCCCCTCTAGATCAGAAATAACTCTTCTGAGCAACTTGAAAATTCAAGTTGAGGTACCAAGTATGAGTCTGAATGGATCCTTTCTCTTTTTTTCAGAATTGCATTGAAGAGAATGGACTCTCCTAGATACTGGCATGCAGTGGGGCTGGAGGTTAGGTGCAGAGATGAATGGAAATGGTCCCTGCCCTCATGTAGCAGATAGGAATAAGCATACTTCACATTTCTAGCTTCCAAATTATTTGCACTTATATCAACACCCATAATAGCTTTGAGAGGTAGATCGGTATCTATTCTGTAGGCAAAGAGGATGAGGGCAGAGTTGTGGGCACAAAGGAAGAGGAAGATGATGTCCTGAGGATGAGGTGAAGTGGGCAATGAAGAAGCCTAAGGGAGCATAAGTAGGCTTTCAATTGGCAAGTCTGAATGGAAAGAATGAGTGTGAGGAATGGCCAGAGCACAGCCAGGTAGGAGAAGGGAGAACTTCAGGCTGTGTTGGGAACTAGTCAAGTGTGGCTGGTGTGAAGGGTATGCAGAGTACAGAGACTCTGAAGTAAGAGTATGGTAAGGTCTCAGTCCAGGCTGATGAGTGTGAGTGCAGTAGGCATGGGGAGACAACTGGGATGGGACACTCGGATCTGGGCTTGGGAGGGGTGAAGTTACTTTAACAGCAGGGTGACAAAGGAATTAGCAGAAGGGAGAGGAAAGGAGAAAGAGACATTTCCAGTTACTATCCAGGCCAAAGTAAGAGGGGGAGATCTTAATAGAGTAGTGACAGTGGGTCCAGAAAGCTAGGAGAAGTGTGAATGACAAGAAATGCACCTTATATCTACTTTTAAAGGTTCAGAAGAGGACTTTTAAATATTTGTAAATATATCCATTAAGCAGTCACATTCATTTGCACTAGTAGGATCCTATTTGTCAGAATCTCATTTGTGGGAACCAGTTACATTTTTAAAAAATGAAGCAGATTGAAGCAGATACACTCTGGCAAAAGAGAGGTGCTTGGGTGGAGCTGTGGCTTTCCTGGGTGCACTCAGGCTTAGCTCGAAAAAAATCTCAGGTGATATTCAATATCTCCTAAATGCACTTTGTCTCTGTGGAAACACCATCTCTGTTTATATTTTGTTTCATTTTGTTATAATATCGAACCTAGGAATTCCTGGGTGGGTGATTCAGTTGGTTAAGCGTCTGCCTTCAGCTCAGGTCATGATCCTGGAGTCCTGGGATCAAGCCGCACATCAGGCTCCCTACTTAGCGGGGATACTGCTTCTCCCTTTTCCTCTTCCCCTAACCCCTGCTCATGTTCTTTCTCTCACTTGCTCTCTCTCTCTTTCTCAAATAAATAAATAAAATCTTTTAAAAATAATATTAATATTGAACCTAGATTCTTTTGTCCTGTCTGTGACTGACCCTAGCCAAATATTGCTCTGTAAAAATTTAGGAATCAGGACTCAGGAAGATGTCTGGTCTCACTGAGACAGATTGGCCTTATGTGCATTTTTGGCCAGCCAGCTGGTCACACTTTTACATGTTGGGAATGCAGCAATGACCAACAGAGTCCATATTTGAGCTCGAGGACCTTATAAACTAATGGAGAGATATGCAACAAATACATGTGAGCAAATGACACCATTAGATATAATCAAGTGGTATAAAAAAATAAAATAGGGTAATGTGATTGAAAGGAAAGGAGGTAGGGCAATATGAGGAGGTGTTATTTGAACTGTGGCCTGAAAGACAAGAAGTAAGTCCCACATAGACGTGGAAGGTGGAAATTTTAAATAGCAGGACCCCCAAATGCCAAGCCCATGAACCTGGAATCATTCAGTGTGTTGGAGGGTCAAAGTCAAGGCACTTGTGGCTGGGGAATGGTGAGTGAGTGGGAAAAGTAAAGTAGATGGGGTTCTCCTTTGGCAAGGGGAGATCTATAGGGCCTTATGGTTGGGGGGGGCAATGAACGTGATTTCATTCTGAATATTTTTGGAAGCTGTCAGGGGAGTGGAATGATCTGGTTTACACTGTTACAAGGCTTGCCCAGGCTGCTGTGGGGAAAATGGACTTTAAAGAAGCTAGAGTGGGGATCCCTGGGTGGCGCAGCGGTTTGGTGCATGCCTTTGGCCCAGGGCGCGATCCTGGAGACGCGGGATCGAATCCCATATCGGGCTCCCAGTGCATGGAGCCTGCTTCTCCCTCTGCCTGTGTCTCTGCCTCTCTCTCTCTCTCTCTCTGTGACTATCATAAATAAATAAATTTAAAAAAATTTAAAAAAAAAATAAAGAAGCTAGAGTGGAAGAGAGACCAAACAGGTAAGAGAGGATGCTCATGGGCTACAGCTGACTCAATCAGAGAGTAGGCTTTAACTGAGTTAGAGATATAGTTTGGAGGTAGAGTCAAGGAACTTACTGGTAGATTTGAGTGGGATGTTACAGAGCAAGAGTAATCCACAGGAACCCCTATATTTTGGTCTTGAACTATTTGGTGGACAGAGTGCCATTTACAGAGGATGAAAAGGCCCTAGATAGGAGTTGGCTTGGCCTAAAGCCTGGGTTGAGAGGATGGATAAGAATCAATAATTCTGCTTTGACTCTTAAGTAGCAGAGATTTAAGAAGAGATGCAGAGTAGACAGCTGGAAGCTGACGTTCAGAGTAAAATTGGGCAGGAGATACTGATTTTTAAATTTATTTATTTATTAAAGATTTTATTTATTTATTCATGAGAGACACACACAGAGAGGCAGATACAGGCAGAGGGAGAAGCAGGCTCTATGAAGGGAGCCTGATGTGGAACTCGATCCTGGGTCTCCAGGATCAGGCCCTGGGCTCAAGGCAGTGCTAAACCGCTGAGCCACCTGGGCTGCCCTGATTTTTAAATTTAAAAGAGCAATCAATAGTATCTTTGAGTGCTTACTATGTACTCGACACCACTGGAAGAAAAATATTTCCCATTGTCAGAAAAGTGATTCTCCCTGAGAACTCCTTGAATAGTACAGAGCTAAGGCTTTGCCTTTGGGCAGGATAGTGAGATGGAACACCCACCTGTTTCTGAGAAGAGACTTTCCAGGGTAAGCATCTGGCATCCTCTGCAGAATGCCAGATCTTTGGCACAAGTTTGTCTTTAAAACAACAACACAATCAAGCTTCTGTGAAGCATGGTGCAGTGTAAATTCACCATGTTAGAGATATTGTCTTGACATCTAGGTATTGTTCCAAGAGCATCACACTGCATCCAAACAAAGGCCTTTCATTGTAGCTTGTATTTAACCTCAGATGAAAATAGCTATGTAGGAAAACAAATTTCTCATGGGTTGTAAATACTGTTCAGACTAATTAATACTTACTGTGTATCTATAGGATCTTCAAATATTAAATTTCTTTGAAACAACTCTTGATGCTGCCAGTCCTTAAATGAATCAGCTTAATGTTGACAATGTAGTACTGCCATTATTTATGTTGTTTATGTTGTGTTGTATTATTTAACATTTTCTGACTCTTCTGAGACAGATATGCCAAGCATATTAAAGACACATTTCTAACTAGAATTAGAGGAAGGAAGGAAGAAAGAAAGAAAGAAGAAAGAAAGAAAGAAAGAAAGAAAGAAAGAAAGAAAGAAAGAAAGAAGAAAGAAAAGAAGAAAGAAAGAAAGAAAGAAAGAAAGAAAGAAAGAAAGAAAGAAAGAAAGAAAGAAGAAAGGAAGAAAGAACCTAAGGTGAAATCTATAGGGATAGGTAGTATGCTGGTAGTTTTAGTGGTTAGCAACAAAAGGATATTAGACAATTAAAATTTTCTGCTTTCACACACACACACACACACACACACACACAATTTTATCATTCCTGGGCTGCCTTTCTCAGAAATCTAGACTAGGAGAGTTTTGAGAATTGTTCTTTTATCTATCAGTCCATCCATTCATTAATTCACCACAAAGGGAGTGATGGGGAATACTTTCAGTGATACACTTTTCAAATATGGTATTTACCCATAAATTAGTTCATGCTTAGGTAATTAATAAGCAATTTCCTGGATATTAACAAGTAATAAAATATGTAACTACATGAATAACTGAATTGTGATGATGCTACACAAGGAAAAGTACAAAGTACAATGAGAGTACATAACAAAGCACCACACCTGGGTGGGACAAAGGGTGGGTGGGGAAAGGTTTTTCGAGAAAATGACATTTCATTTGAGACCTGAATGACAAGTAAAAGTGAACCATGGAAAGGAGCACTGGATAAGGAATGAGAGGAAGTAGCCCCAAATGAACTGTGGACCTCAATGTACAAACAGCATACATCCATTAAATAGTGCCATATGACCTGAACTTACCAGTACAATTAGTATAGTTTTAAATGGAACTACAGACACAGAGTCTTTTTGTTCTTTGTTTACTCTGCTCTATTCCTGGCTTTTTGTTTTGTTTGTTTTGCTTTTGTTTTTCAATTTAGACCACCTGGGGTAGGCTCCTAGCTCCATAACCTAGTTGTGCAATCTTGGGTTGATACAATAGCACCATAATAATTGCAAAGATTCAATGAGATGATAGTACCTAGCAGAGTAACCAGTGCATATTGGGTGTTCAGTAGCTTTGGTTTTCTACTCTTTGCACATAAGCAATCAGTGTACAAGCAAGGCTTGTAAACTACATAGCAAACAGATGACATCAGAGCATACTTAGTAGATGAAGAGGCATTTTACTTAGCCTTGAATTGATGAAAGGTTTTTTAAAAGTGTCAGTGATGCAGGAAACTGGAAAGAAGGGAGGTATGGAGAGCCATTATATTATGATGAAAAGTTCAGGAACAGGATGGTATGGCCATGGAAAATTCCAGTTACCACAATGCAAGATAAATGGAGGGTTGATTGAGGAATGAAGCTGCATAAGT